GCTCCATGTGTAGGCACTGCACACATTTGGAACTCTCAGTCTGGTTTGGATGCACTCAAGCATACGCTGATGGGTTTCCGTGTGTGTCAGAACCCGGCAGATCGCAGTGATGAGTTTACGTGTAAGACAGACATCCGGCTGACTGTGATGAATGGTTTCCCATGTGTGACAGACACCCGGCTGACCATGGTGATGGGTTTAGAACATAAGAATCGCTAGACAAAAGAAGATGAAGTTCCACGCAGTTTGCCTTCCACCATCTCTGGCAGTCACATGCATACGGCATGTCCCTCGCTATATACTGTATCCCGAGATATTATTTGCTAACAGATATCTATCTAATTTGTTCTTGAAAGAATCAACACTTTCTGCTTCCACCGGCTCCCTAGGGAGCACCCTCCTCCCTCTGACCGCCCTCCTCCCTCTGACCGCCCTCCTCCCTCTGACCGCCCTCCTCCCTCTGACATGCTCCATCTCGCTCCCAGTTGCAATATCTTGCCTCGAATCCCTCACTGTCAGAAGAAGCTCCTCATCGTTTATCCTCTGTGTGTGTGTGTGTGTGTGTCTGTATGGTGAGAAAGGGCATAAGATACATGTGCAGCCTGAGAACAAATCCAAGAATAATAATAATAATCCTTCATTTGATACAGCACCTTTCACATCTGGAGGACACGTCAAAAATCCTCAAAAGGATTTGCTGTAAAGTGTGGTGGCTATGTGTTTGTAGGTGAACATACCAGCCAATCTGTTACAGCAATGTACCACAAACTGCCATAAAGTGAATCAATGATTTTATGTGGGATTGTTGCCCAGGAAACCAGGAGATACTCTCTTCTCTTTTCTAATAGCGCCATGGGATCTTTTAACATCCACCTGGACAGGCAGACGGGACCTCGTTTAACATCTCATCTGAAGGACAGCAGCTCTGACAATGCAGCACTTCCCCAGAACAGCACTGGAACATCAGCCAAGACTGAGCTCAAACTACATCTCCACACGGATCACTTTGACCACACTTTCTCCTTCACACCCACTCTGGCTCCCTCTCCCTGCTCAGCTGCCCCCCCCCCCCCCCATTACTGTGAATGAGCTCTGGGGACATCTTCCCAACGTGAAAGGCGCTAATATCAATGTAAATTGTATTGTTAAATCCCGAAGTGGGGTTTGCACCCTCACCATTCGAAGTGCTATGAACTGAGCCAGGGTGACAGCTGATATCAAGCAGACCAGCACTGAGCCCCCACTCTGCGTTACTGATCACACATACCAACTTCCCCCCCCCCCACCCCCGCACCATGAGTCACAATGACAACAACAACTTGCATCTTACACAGCGCCGTCACACAGAAAAGTGCCTGGGAGCCCTGCCAGAAATCACAACCACAAATCAAGTGAATTGCGACAAGTAGTTTAAGAAAGGTGGATTGGCCAGTGCCTGGCGGGATGGGCTGTCAGGCTGGGGGGGTGGGGGGGGGGCAGGAGAGTGGCAGCCCCACCCCAGCAGAGGCTGGGGCTTGGCATAGACTCCAGTTGCTGCTATTGTAAACACTGCGTGTGGGGGAGAGCTTCCAAGCAGAAAATGTAGAGAACGGATTGTGTTCCAAACTCAGGTCTTGGCAACTGGCACTCTTCAGCTAAACAAAATCACTATGGCATGTTTGATAACAGTGTTGTCAACAGCTACAACATCATCATCATCATCAACAACAACAACAGCAGCAGCAGCATCGACAATAATATCAATAATAATAAACAATAATATCAACATGCACTATTTATTTACAGATCGTCAAACAAAGGGGGAGGCTTCAAGGTTTAACAAACGTGGGACTAAACCGGCTGCTAAAAGCAGGATCTACAATAATTATTTTTAAAAGAGGATTAGACAGTTACCTCAAGACAAAATATAGTAAGGAAGACGGGAGGGGTGGGGGGGGGGGGGAGGTGGGTAGGGGAGCAGGACAGTGGGGCCACACAGAAAGCTTACAGAAGCTCACAGAAAGTCAGTGTAGTGGGGGGGGGGGGTGACTGTGGTTGGGGGGGTGACTGTGGTGGGGGGGGATGATTGTGGTGGGGGGGATGATTGTGGTTGGGGGGGGTGACCGTGGTGGGGGGGGTGACTGTGGTGGTGGGGGGGGTGACTGTGGTGGGGGGGTGACTGTGGTGGGGGGGGGGGTGACTGTGGTTGGGGGGTGGTGACTGTGGTGGTGAGGGGGTGGTGACTGTGGTGGTGGGGGGGTGGTGACTGTGGTGGGGGGGTGGTGACTGTGGTGGGGGGGGGGTGACTGTGGTGGGGGGGTGGTGACTGTGGTGGGGGGGGGGTGACTGTGGTGGGGGGTGGTGACTGTGGTGGGGGGGTGGTGACTGTGGTGGGGGGGGTGGTGACTGTGGTGGGGGGGGTGGTGACTGTGGTGGGGGGGGTGGTGACTGTGGTGGGGGGGGGTGGTGACTGTGGTGGGGTGGTGACTGTGGTGGGGGGTGACTGTGGTGGGGGGGTGGTGACTGTGGTGGGGGGGGTGGTGACTGTGGTGGGGGGGGTGGTGACTGTAGTGGGGGTGGTGACTGTGGTGGGGGTGGTGACTGTGGTGGGGGTGGTGACTGTGGTGGGGGGGTGACTGTGGTGGGGGGGGTGACTGTGGTGGGGGGAGGGGGGGGGGGTGACTGACTGGCTTTGGAACAGCGAGCTCCCATTTTGGGGAAGGAACTATTTGAATAGCTGAAGAAAGGAAACAGCTGAGAACCCGACTCTGGTGGCTGGGTGTGAGGGACCAGCCGTCGCACTGTGATGGCAAGCTCAAATTTACTTCACAAACCCCCCCGCCCGACCCCACCTCACAGCCGGCCAGCAATTCAGTCCCTGTAACTTGCTGAAGGTGTTCCCGCTCACCCCCCTCCCATTTTACTCTGATGATCAGTCATTCCATGCTCCTCCTTCATCCCCTCTGCTGGACCGTCACCCCTGGAGGCGGGGAAAGCACAGCCACGACTGATCCCCTCCTTCCTCTGGGGTTTAGGGGACATGGGGTTAGGGGGCGCAGGGTTGGGTAGAGGATCAGGAGGAAGGCACTTGGCCTGTTTTTACTTCCATAGCCCAGTTGCGCTGGGGTCACTTGTAGCTCCAACTAATATCATGGCTGAGATCAGCAACCCTATCACCCCCACCCGGCTCCACATCACTCAGGGGATACAGTTCAAAATCCTGATCCTCGCCTTCAAAGCCCTCCAAGGCATCGCTCCTCCCTACCTCCTTGACATCCTGACCCCCTACCAACCTGCCCGCTCCCTCCCCTCAGCGGGCTCAGACCTGCTTCACGTTCCCCCGCCTTGCCCACTCCACCATTCAGCCTCTCTGCCCCCACCCTATGGAACTGCACCCCACAGTCCCTCAGCCTCAGCCCCTTTCTTGCCTCCGTAAAAATCCACCTCAAGACCCTCCACTTCAACCGTGCCTTTGGTCACCCTCCTATTCCTCCCCTCCCCTCGCTCCTCCTGATTCAAGCCACAAGTTTCCCTGACTGACCAGCGCCTTGGAGTGTCCTTCTGATGTGAAAGGCGGTATAGAAATGTAATTTGTTGTTGTGACAAGAGGCACTGCAGTTATCCAGTCGCGCTCGGGTCCTGGTTAATCTCCTCCCCAGGGTTAAAGGACCAGTGGGCAGTAACCAGTGCTTTTTTCTGTACCAAGCACGTCCCTAAAGTGCATTAAAGTGGTGCCTTGTTGATGAATTACTGACATGAAACACACAATGTGCAGAATCTACGAAACAAAACCAGCCAAAAAAAAGTAAATCATACATTGAGTCGCAACTTGTCTCCAACCTGGTGCTCCCGTGTCTGTGACTCACCCCAACACCCAGTCACACACTTAGCTTCCATCGCCAATAACGAATTTAATTAAGGAATCAGACCCATCAGCCCGGCTCACCCTCTCGCCTCCGAGTCAGAAGCGCCGCGAGCGCATCATCTCTCACAACAGTTCGTAACCCGACCATTCACAACATTTACTTTACAGCAATATTCTGTGGAGCACTTTGCGAGACGTCTCAAGGATGTGATATAAAGGCGCTGTATCAAATGAAAGGATTATTATTATTCCCCCTCCACACACACACACACACATGCACACACGCGGGGCGATGGGGGGGGGGGGGGAGAATAATAATAATAATAATGTGTGTGTGTGTGAGACAGACACAGTAAGAGGGAGATGTTATAGAGAATCGCTTTGCTGGTGGAAGTTAGCAGCAATGGCAGATTTACACTCTTCTCTCATTCAAGCAAAACTTTCCAAACTATCCCCCCCCCTCCCACCCCCCACCCCCACCCTCACGGCTGCAGACTCGGCAGTAATTACAGAGGCTGCGTTTGTACCTCACGTCCCCAACGGTAGACAACTCCTGAGGGTCAGAACCGGTCAGCGGGACACACACCTCACAACCACCACCACCACCGCCACCAACACCACCATCCGTGGGGAGGCATCCCGGGGGGTCAGACACACAGCCTCACAGTGACACTCACACAGACAGTGACACTCAGACACAGTGACACTCACACAGTGACACTCACACAGTGACACTCAGACACAGTGACACTCACACAGTGACACTCACACAGTCAGTGACACTCAGACACAGTGACACTCACACAGACAGTGACACTCAGACACAGTGACACTCACACAGTGACACTCACACAGACAGTAACACTCACACAGACACAGTGACACTCACACAGACACAGTGACACTCACTGACACAGTGACACTCACTGACACAGTGACACACAGTGACACTCAGACACAGTGACACTCACTGACACAGTGACACTCACTGACACAGTGACACACAGTGACACTCAGACACAGTGACACTCACTGACACAGTGACACTCACTGACACACAGTGACACACAGTGACACTCACTGACACAGTGACACACACAGTGACAGTGACACAGACACAGTGACACAGTGCCGTTGTGTGTGGGGGGAGACTCACTTGAGGAAGTATCTCTGACCAGACGGGGTTTTGGCCATTTCCCAGCCGGGCGGCAGAGGTACGTCGTCGATGTTGTCGAAGGATTGCTGCCGGTGGTGGCTGTAGCCGGGCCGCCGGGGCCGGGGCCGGGGCCGGGCAGCGAGGCGGGCGAGGAGTGCGAGCGGATGTGCTGGATGTGGAAGTGGGGCAGGCCGGCGGGGGGGCCGCCGGGGCCGGGGCCGGGGCTGGAGTCGCCGCTGGCCTGGCGGGAGTGCGAGCCCGAGTCCGGCGGCCTGAAGAAGGACTCCGGCAGCTTGCGGAGCCGCATGGGCACCCCCTGGGGCAGGCTGCCCGCCTGGGGGTTCATCACCGCCTTGAACAGCGCCTCCAGGTCGGTCTCAGAGTCGCCCAGGACCCGCACGATGGTGTGTCCCGGGGCCGGGGCCGGGGTGGTGCTGCCGTCCATGGTGTGGGGGGGTGAGGGGTGAGGGGGTGGGGGGGGGGGGGGTCCCAGGCCGCGGGCCGCGCGCGGAGCAGAAAAAACCGTCGGCGACTGAGAGAGGGGACGAGAAAAAAAAGTTTGGGAAAAAGTTTTCCAAAAGTTTCTCTCTCTCTCTTTCTTTCTCTCTCTCTCGTGGCTTCGCTTTAACTTCTTGTCGTCGACGACGCTGTTGTTGTTGTTGCTGTTGAGCAGCCGAGACAGAAAGTCAGCCCCAGCATCGCTCCCTCTGTGTGTGTGTGTCTCTGTGTGTGTGTGTGTGTGTGTGTCTGTCTCTCACACACACACTCCACCCCCCCCTCTCCCTCTCCCCCTCCCTCTGGGCTGCGGGGCTGGGGAGTGTCTGTCAGTCAGTCAGTCCCCCCCCCACCACCACTCCTCCTCCTCCTCACCCCCACCCTGAATTATTCATGAGCTGCTTGTCTGCCCCCCCCCACCCCCCCCTTCTTCCCCCGCAAATCACAGCGGCTTCACTCGCAAACATGTCTGTCCTGTTTTGTCTGTCTGTCTGTCTGTCTGGAGGGGGGTGTTCGTGAGTGGGAGGGGGGGTTCGTGAGTGGGAGGGGGGGTGTTCGTGAGTGGGAGGGGGGTTCGTGAGTGGGAGGGGGGGTTCGTGAGTGGGAGGGGGGTGTTCGTGAGTGGGAGGGGGGGGGTTCGTGAGTGGGAGGGGGGGTTGTGAGTGGGAGGGGTGTTCGTGAGTGGGAGGGGGGTGTTCGTGAGTAGGAGGGGGGGTTCGTGAGTGGGAGGGGGGTGTTCGTGAGTGGGAGGGGGTGTTCGTGAGTGGGAGGGGGGTGTTCGTGAGTAGGAGGGGGGGTTCGTGATTGGGAGGGGGGGGTTCGTGAGTGGGAGGGGGGGGTTGTGAGTGGGAGGGGGGTTCGTGAGTAGGAGGGGGGGGTTCGTGAGTGGTAGGGGGTGTTCGTGAGTGGAGGGGGGTGTTCGTGAGTGGGAAGGGGGGTTCGTGAGTGGGAGGGGGGGTTCGTGAGTGGGAGGGGGGGTTCGTGAGTGGGAGGGGGGGTTCGTGAGTGGGAGGGGGTTGTGAGTGGGGAGGGGGTTCGTGAGTGGGAGGGGGGTTCGTGAGTGGGGGGGGTTCGTGAGTGGGAGGGGGGGGTTCGTGAGTGGGAGGGGGTGTTTCGTGAGTGGGAGGGGGTGTTTCGTGAGTGGGAGGGGGGTTCGTGAGTGGGAGGGGTGTTCATGAGTGGGAGGGGGGGTCGTGAGTGGGAGGGGGTGTTCGTGAGTGGGAGGGGGTGTTCGTGAGTGGGAGGGGGGGTTCGTGAGTGGGAGGGGGGTTCGTGAGTGGGAGGGGGTGTTCATGAGTGGGAGGGGGGGTCGTGAGTGGGAGGGGTGTTCGTGAGTGGGAGGGGGTGTTCGTGAGTGGAGGGGGGGTTCGTGAGTGGGAGGGGGGGGTTCGTGAGTGGGAGGGGGGTTCGTGAGTGGGAGGGGCGGTTTGTAAGTGGGGGGTTCTTGAGTGGGAGGGGGGGCTGTGAGTGGGAGGGGCTGTGAGTGTGGGGTGGGGCTGTGAGTGGGAGTGGGGCTGTGAGTGGGAGGGGGGCTGTGAGTGGGAGGGGGGCTGTGAGTGGGGGGTGGGGACTGTGAGTGGGGGGTGGGACTGTGAGTGGGAGGGGAGATTCATGAGTGGGGGGGGGTTTCGTGTGAATGGGGGCTTTGACTGGGGGGGGTCATGAGGAGGGGTGTGGTGAATGGGGGAGGCTGCGAGGGAGGGCTGTGAGTGGTGGGGGGGGGGTTGTGAGTGGTGGGGGGTTGTGAGTAGGGGGCTGCTGTGAGTGGGGCGGAGGGGGTGCTGGGGAGTGAGGGGGAGCTGTAAGTTGGTGGGGGGGGGTTACTGTGAGTGGGGTAGGGGGGCTGTGAGTGGGGGAGCGGGGGTGGGGGTGAGGGGGCTGTTCGCTGTAGGAATGTGTGACACAGCCCCAGTGCATTCCAGCACAGCTGAGCCGTTCTCTGCGCCGTTTCGCCTTTTGTTGTGGAGTGGGTGACCTTAAGAAGAGCGAATGAAAATCAAAGCACTTCGCCTTTCTGTTATTACCAAATATGGAATGGCAGGAATGTTGCTGGCTTGGCCTCCCCCACTCTCTTTCCCCCTGCCGGTCTCTCCTTCCCTTCATTCCTCGCTCCCTCCCTCCCTCCCCTCCCTCCCTCCCTCGCTCGCTCGCTCGCTCGCTCCCTCCGCTTTTCCCTTGAACCTTTCAGTCAAGGCTGAGCTCAGATTGCTGCATGGCCTTCGCCAGTTGGTGACAAAACAAAATAAAACAGCCCAAAGCATTGGACTGGAGTTGAAGGGGCGGGTTTGGTGTGTGGGTTAGGGCTATGTACACTACCCCCATCCCACCCCCTACCCACCCCCGACTCACTGACTGACTACAGGAAGAGCTCAGACCTGACACATTGAGCCAGGTTTCTGTCATTTTCATTGTAAAATAAATGCCAGTGGACTGTGCTCACAGGGCGTATGCAATGCATTGCCCCCAGCCCTCAGCTCAGCCCCTGCCCCCGACTAAGCTCCCAGCTCTTATCTCAGCCCCAACCCTTAGCTCAACCCCTGGCCCCCAACTCAGCCACCAGCTCAGCTACCAGCTCAACCCTCTCCCCTGACCCTGAAGCTCAGCCCCCAAACCTCCCACCATCCCTGCCTCCTGCCCCCAGCCAAACTCTCCGTCGCCAGCTCGCCCCCAGGCTTGCCCCCTGTCCCCCAAGCTCAGCAACCAGACCGGACCCCAGCTCAACCCCCGGCCCCTAGCACCCAGCTCGGCTCCCAGCCCCAAGCTTCAGCCCCCAGCCTCAGGCCCCAAGCCCCAGCTCCCTGCCCCCAGCACAACCACCAGTCCTCAGCTCCCTGCTTCCAGCTCAGTTCCTAGCGCCAGCCACAGCCCAACCCAGCCCCCAGCTCCCAGCTAAGCCCAGACCCTAGCCCAGCCCCCAGCTTAGCATCCAGTCCCTAAGCCTTAGCTCTTGCCAATCAGCACCTAAGCAGATGCGTCCCTCCAGGGAGAGACGGCATATTCCGTTCCAACAATCTATCTGCGGAATTTCCATGAGTAGGTGTGATGCATGGAAATCTCAGCTTGGTTTAATAATAATAATCCTTACATTTGATATAGCGCTTTTTCACATTTTCTAGACGTCTCAAAGCCAAGAATAGACTGTAAAGTGAATTGACTGTATATTTGTGGGCAAAATGTGCGCACAGCAATGTCCCACAAACAGTCTTGGATGGAAGTGACCAATTTTATTTTTTATTTTTTATATTTTTTTTTGAAGGATTATTATCAGCAAGTAGAATAAGGATACTTGCCCAAGGTCTCTCGCTTGTGAGGCATGCTCTCTGACCACTGAGCTACAGGACTCCACTGGGTTTGGAAACTCTTAAGCATGGTAATGGGTTTCTGCTTGTGTCAGACACCCCTGAGCAAAAAAACAGGAAGAGTGTGTGGGACAGGTTGTGGCTTTATATGAGATTGTCGAATGTCAGGAGAAATATCTTCGCTGTATTCATCGACTCCCACAAGACCTTCAGCGTAGTATTACATGAAACCCTCATGATAAAATGGGAAGCCTTAGGAGTATATGGCCGACTATTGGATTTTATCTGTATTACCACGCTCTGCGTCCAATTAATAAAACTTATTTCCCTGGTTAAGGAATGAGTGATGTTTCTTGCGCAGGAGGAAAGCCAAAAAGTCTGACAAACGGTCAAAAAAAAATAAAGATGCCATTTCAGGTTCTGAGTGCCACATTTGCAATCCCATTTTCCCCTGACTATACACTCAGCCTGTCCCTTGAACCAACTGCTTCTATTAAAGGGGTAGGTAGTGTTGCCACGGTACCACATTGTACAGAGAAATGTGCCGTGACCACAAGATACCATTTACCAGGTCATCGCGCTTGCCTGTTTCCAACTATGCCATGCACATCACTGGATGATGCTCATACAATCAGGAGGAGCCCTTGGTTCTTTGTCCCTCTCCAGTTCATGAACACTGAGACCTGTATTCCAAGCATTCTGGGACTCAGTCTTGCATGAGGGGCGCTATATAAATACAAGTTGTTGTTATATTGTCTCTATATTAGTGTCTCCACTGATTGCCCAGACAACTCAGTCCAGACCAAGAGCACTGCCTGTCTAATGGCTCAGCACCACTGAACTCACTGAACCCACTAGGTGACCTCATATAAAGGGTGCTCTATAAATGCTAATTCTTGTTGAACCGTTGGAGAAACTCCCATCTGATATTCCTGGAAGAACTTTGCACTTTTATAGTGTGTTTTATATCAAACACCCAACACGTGTGTGCCACAAGCTTGGATTATAATGGGGAGAAACCCATTGTGCTGTGAATCATAACAAATGGCAACGTTCCAGGTCCCCCTTGTCTGCAGCTCTGTGTGGCAACACATTGCTGAGACAATAACACACAGCTTTTTACATGATACTCCAGCAAGGTTTAACCTTTTTACATTGACCCTTATTTCCCATTTTTGAGGCCCTCGAGAGGATTTAATGGAGTGTTTGGGAACAAGGAATGAGGCCACATGGGTGTGGAAGAGCATTTTGGAGTATTTCTTTGTTACTTTTGGGAATCATTAAGGATCTGCATAGAGATTTCCCTGGAGATGTCATTGAGCAACAGGGTTAGGTTTGGTCTATAGTTAGACCAGATTTGGTGCATCAAATGGCTTTTTTTCTCATTGTTTTTTGCACTCAAAACCAGAGCTTGTGGATTTATTCCTAGATCCCCTCCACTTCACCCCCTCCCATGCCTCCTTCAAGGCCCATCTCAAGAACTTCCTGTTCGACCATGCCTTTGGTCATCTTCCCACCCCCACCCAACCTCCCTCCCACCCGTCCTCCAGCCCTCTTAACTTCAACATCCAGCTTGGGTGAAAACACTTCACCTTCCAGTGCCTTGGGACATCCTCCTGATGTGTAAGGCGCTATATAAGTGCAATTTGTT